CCCCCCCCCCCCCCCTCAGCTCCTAAACTTTTATCTCCCTGCCCGTTTCATGTGCTTTCTGCTGAGTGAGTCTGGTGCCTGCGGCTCTGCTCTTGGGGATATTCTCTTGCTTCTGACATTTCTGCCTTGCTGCTATGCACAACGCATTCTTTAATTCTTGCAGCTTCTTCCTGAGCAAGGATCACAAAGTTTTACAAGACTAAGTATAATATCTATTCTAATCTGTAATAATTTATGAGAATTTTAAACTATGTAACTAAAAAGCATCATGAAGAATTTCTCTTAATTCTTTTAAATAATGACAATAATTGGTATTGTCATTATTGTCAAGAATGGTAGGAGATCTGATGCTGCCTTTATGAACACATGCAATACACCTCTAAAATATTACAGTTGTATTCTTATTCTGTGTTAAATCTTGAAATATTAATAGATTATTACAATAAAAACCTGGCTGCTGGTTAAGTCATCAGTGAAAATTGAATTGGAGTTCATCACTGAAATGGATTTTTAGACTAGTCTAAAAAAAAAAACAGATGAAAGATCTTAGTTAAAAAATAATTTAAAATAAAGGGGGTATCTGTGTTTTGCTTATGCCTCTAAACAGGAACTGACACATAAGAAATTGTTTGAATCAGAATGTCTTAAGGAATGTGTCATTTTACCACTAATTTCCAGTGTTACATTATAAGCAAACTTAATACAGCTTCTGGGCAGCTAGAATACAGCCCCAGTCAGTAAGATGTCAATATATTAACCCATTGTGTGTCTGTTTGTATATATAGACTGCGTACATAGAGTGCAAAGTGTATTTGTAGATTCATATATACATATACTTGAAAAATTTTTTTCAAAGATTTTTATGAAAAGAATTGAGGGGAAACATCAATTCCAGCAATCTGGTCTAAAATTCCACGTGTGGAAGGGTGGTAACAGCAGGAGTGATAGCTCTCTCCCTCTCTGCTTCCATTTGCACCATTCAGGATGGGAGGTGTTCCCAGTCCCATGCTGGCAGTGTCCACAGCGCTACGCACACTGTGTGTTCTTCCTAGCTGGATCACAGATAGCTGCATTCCTGTTTGTATCAATATATGTCAGTACTACTTTGTACTCTGCATATCATCCACTCACTGGGCCATGTCAATGAACATTGATTTTTTTTTTTAATTTCTTTTTTCCTGTACATGGATTTCTTAACTGATTTCTGTTTGGCAATTGACAGTGTCCAAGTTACATGACCTATTTCTTCCAGGCAGTATTAGCAGGATGTTCCACTCCATCTTAGCTAGATGGGTTGTGTAACACTTTAAACAGAAGCATCTCCAATGTACTGTAGAAATCTCTCAGGTAAGCTTAGGCTCAGTGATGCATCAGGAATTCAGCTGCACACTGGTCATGAGTTTAGCTGCAGAACCACTATGTTGCTTCAGGAAACCAAGAGAAATTTGACTGTCTGAGCTCAAGCTCTTGGAACACACTGAAAACGCGTGTGGCGATGCCATATTTTCCATATGCGCTCCCTAAGGGCCTGGCCATCAGCCCACTGGCTTTTGGGGGGTGGGGAGGAGCGGGTGGATGGGGTTACACATCAGAGCAATGCCTCTGCTTCTATCATAGTGATGCAAACCATTACACAGCAATGCATAACTAAATGCTGACCCATAACGAGGGTTCTAAGTGCAAGAGGAAACAAAAAATAAAGGAGGTACCTCCTGTGTCTTTTCTTCCCTGTCCTAAACCACCTAGTAACTAAACTGTCAAATGCAAATTAAAGGCAGGGAAGGCTTACTACTACGCATTTACCCCCGATATCATTTATATCCACTTTTCAGAAATAAGCATGAAAAAAAAACCCTAATATTTTGTATTGGTTATTTGATTCAAACCATCATATGATTTCTGAATAAAATCAGAAGTGATGTTCCTGACATGTACAATCCCAGATCATAATTTTTCTTTCAAAAAAGAAAGCTGAATTCAGAGCTTTCTTTAACTAGGCATTACATATGAGAATCCTACCTAGAAAAGATTCTATGCTGGAAGAACTGCAGTAGGAAAGGAGGAGACGTAAGAAACGTAAACAGGGAAAAATAAAAGTATTTGGTACACCCATGCATAAGAGCAGTGGCAATATGGTGATATAGAAGCATATGTATTTTACCTTAAAAATTAAATGTTTTTAAATGTTAGAATAATCTGGGGTTTGAGAGAGTAACATTGAAGTGCAAAAGGTGACAATATCTTTCACTGTGGGAGGGACAGTACTGGCACTTTCTTGGTATTGCTCAGGGTTGAATTTATGTGCTATGAAAGGAAAAGTCATAGGTGAGCCATACTTTCAGCTTTGATTCTTTGACCATTTTAGAGAGACATTTTTGCGTAGTGTTTTAATTAAGAATAAAATTGGGAATGATGGGAGGGGGAGGGGGGGAATCCTATCAAAGTCCTTTCTTACTAGTGTGGTCAGAAGCTGCTCTGCAATTATTTATTTGAAGTGACCTAAATAACAGCTATGGACTAAAAAGTGCAGGCTATTTAGGATTTGGACTGTAATTTTATTAAAGCTAAAATATAATCTGGATATGCACTGGAGGACTAATTACACAAAGGAATTGGCTGACTCCTAAGAAGTAGCAGAGCCTGGGGAAAAAAATTCTTTGACAGACAGTAAAATATACTGGAAAGAAGAAAAAGGAGTACTTTTGAGGTCAACACAGGTTGCTGTTCAAATCTATGCAAGTAAATTTAATTTCATTAGGATAGTGTTAGAGTCAGTATGCTTTTAAAACCCACACAAATTAAAATATAAACAGTCTAGTGGGAAGAAAGACTTTGATAATGAATGGGAAAAAAATGAATGTAAAATGAAAAGCATGCTCAAATATAGATTGCATCTAAAGTAATTAAAAGTACTGTTAATTCACAGGCATTCAGCTAGTGAAATTAGGCACTATGCTGTGATAGCATTTAAGGAGAAATAAAGATTAGAAAATTTCTCTCTTGGCAGTTCCTGCAAAAGCTAGCAAGCCAAGCATGATGGGTTTTTCTGCTAGAAGGCAAAATAGTCACCTGTGGGTCAACATGTTTGTAACAACTGGCGTGAGCTTAATTTGCTTGTATATTTACTACTTTTTTTTTTTAAACAATATACAGAACATAGCTACCAAACAAATATGCTTTTTTCCCTAACTTTTTCTAACATATTTCTACATTGGGCATCTAACAAAATTACAACAGTATTTCATTGGTCAGATGGAAAGCAGTTTGCAATAATTTATTTTGAAGTATGCCACGCTGAAGATGCAGCAGCCAGTCTCTCATATCTGTCTCTGTATCTATTGATCAGGTTGTTTCTTCTGAATTAAAACTATTCAAGGTTTGCTTAAATTAATACCTCTTTTTAATGGCCATACCTAC